TAATCCTCCTCCTGCGGTGCCAGCACCCCGGGTTCTAGTCCTGGTTGGGGTGCCGGGTTCTAGTCCCAGTTGCCCCTCTTCCAGTCCAGCTCTCTGCTGTGGCCCGGGAGTGCAGTGGAGGATGGCCCAAGTGCTTGGGTCCCTGCACCCGCATGGGAGACCAGGAGGAAGCACCTGGCTCCTGGCTTCAGATCAGCGTAGCGCACCAGCCGCAACACGCTGGCTATAGCAGCCACTTGGGGGGTGAACCAACGGAAAAAGGAAGACCTTTCTCTCTGTCTCTCTCACTAACTCTTCCTGTCAAAAAAAAAAAAAAAAAAAGTACCAAGTATATTGAATGTTAAAAACTAATTGAAAATAAAAAACAAAAACCATAAATCAGATAATGTTGCTCCTCTGCCTAAAACCCTCCAGTCTTTTCCCACTTCAAAGAAATAAAGACTGGAGTTTTTACAGGGTCTCTGAGATCATGGCTGCATGACCTGGCCTTCCATTACCTCACTGGCTTCATCTCCTGCTCCTCTGTTGCTTGTTTCCAGTGCTCTGGTGTCACTGGCCCCTTGCATACTTGAGCACATCGAATATTGGCCCCCGTGCCCTTGACCTTGCTCCTCCCTGTTCCAGGGCAGCTCCTCTCCTGGCATCTGCATGTCACTGCCTCAGCCCTCCTGGGTCTCTGGTCAGATATTGCCCTATCACTGAGGCCTTCCCAGCCACCTCACTTTCCCTGCGCATCTGCTGTGCCCGTCCTGCTTTGTTCCTCTTCGTTTATCACCATCTGACGCTTTATTTGCCTATTACCTCTGTATTTAAGAAACTTTTTTTCTTGGGGCTGGCGTCACAGTGCAGTGGGTTAAGCCACCACTTGTGACACTGGCATCCCACATGAGTGCTAGTTTGAGTCCTGGCTGTATTACTTACAATGCAGCTGCTTGCTAATGTGCCTGGGAAAGCAGCAGAAATGGCCCAAGTATTCGCATTAACAGGAAGCTCGATCAGAAGTGGAGCAGCCAGAACTTGCTTATAGCAAGCCAGAGAGGATGAAGGAGGGTAAATCAGGTCCCTGCCTCATAACTGAATGTCAGTCTGATTGTCAGGTTTTTTTCCTCAAAATTGTACTTAAAAACCCCAGTGCCGTGGGACCCTTTGGGTCTTTTCCTCTCTTGGAAGTTGGAAGTCTCCCTCCATCCTGTTCTGGCTGGAGGTCTTTGACTGTAATAAATCTTGCTTTTTAAAATCTCAAAAAAAAAAAAAAAAAAAAAGAAGTGTTCGTATTTGTGGTGAGGTGTTGCGCGTGGTGACTTAACCTGCTGTGTCCCAGCACCAGACCCTGTCTCCTGTCCCCTGCTTCAGGAGGTCAGGAAGTACATTTTACTGACTGCCCGGTCCTCAGTGCAGGACGTCTTCCTGTGCTGTGTGCTCGCTCGGTGTTGGTCGAGTGAGTGAATCCGGTGAGTGCTTCTCTTTCATTATCTCAGATACTCTTTTTCTTTTAAGTCGTAGATATTCTCAGAGAGCTTCACTGAGATGCGGTTTCTGTACCATACAATTCACCCATTTTAACTGTAAAATCCAGTGGTTAACAAACAGTACATTCATATTTGTGACGATCCCCACAATTTTAGGATGTTTTCATCATCTCAGAAAGAAAGCTCTCCCTATTAGCTATCTTGATCCCACCCTTCCCTCCCCCACCATAAGTAAGTGCTGATATCCTTGGGGTCTCTGTGGATTTGTCTGTTTCGAGCATTTCATATCAATGGAATCATATGATGTGTGGCCTCTTGTGTTTGGTCTTTCACGTGGCATATGATGTGTGGCCTTTTGTGTCTGGTCTTTCATGTGGCATTATGGTTTTGAGGCTGATCTGTGTTACTACATGAAGCAGTATTTCGTTCCTTTATAAAAATTTTTAAAAAATTATTTTGAGTTTATTTGAAAGCTAGAGTCTCATACACACACGTACACACACGTACACATACACACACACACACACATCTTCCATCTGAGGTTCACTCCCCATTGCTCACAACAGAGCTAGGCCAGGCTGCATCAGGAGCTGGGTCTCTCTGGGTCTCCCATGTGGGTGGTATTGATCCAGGTGCTTGAGTGGTCACCCGCTGCCTCCCAGGGTGTACATTGGCAGGAAGCTGATTCATAAACAGAGTGGCCAGGACTGTAACCAGGCACTCTGATGTGGGGAAGTGGGCATTGAAAGAGGCAACTTAATCACTGTGACAAATGCCCATCCCTTCATTCCTTTTTCTGAATGTGTGACTTTTCGGTTTACCCTTTTTTTTTTTTTTTTTTTTTTTTTAAGATTTATTTATTTGAGAGGCAGAGTTACAAACAGAGAGAGGAAGAGACAGAGAGAGGTCTTCCATCCTCTGGTTCACTTCCCAAATGACCACGATGGCTAGAGTTGCATCAATCCGAAGCCAGGAGTCAGGAGCTTCTTCTGGGTCTCCCATCTGGGTGCAGGGGCCCAAGTACTTGAGCTATCTTCCACTGCCTTCCCAGGCCATTAGCAGGGAGCTGGTTTGAAAGTGGAGCAGCCAGGACAAGAACTGGTGCACATGTGGGAAGCTGGTGCTGCAGGAAGGGCTTAGCCTACTACATCACAGTGCTGGCTCCTCTCAGTTTATTCTTTTTTTAAAAGATATATTTATTTATTTGAAAGAGCTACAGAGAGGCAGAGGCAGAAAGAGAGAGAGAGAGGTCTTCCATCCTCTGGTTCACTCCCCAAATGGCTACAACAGCCGGAGCTGTGGGTCTCCCATGGGGGTGCCGGGGCCCAAGGACTTGGGCATCTTCTGTGCTTTCCCAGGCCATAGCAGAGAGCTGGATCAGAAGTGGAGCAGCCAGGACTACAGTCAGTGGCTCTACCTGCTACGCCACAGCACCAGCCCCCTCTCAGCTTATTCTTTTTTTTTTTAATTTTTTTAAAAATTTTTTGACAGGCAGAGTGGACAGTGAGAGAGAGAGAGAGAGAGAAAGGTATTCCTTTTACCATTGGTTCACCCTCCAGTGGCCGCTGCAAACGGCACACCATGCTGATCCGAAGCCAGGAGCCAGGTGCTTCTCCTGGTCTCCCATGGGGTGCAGGACCCAAGCACCTGGGCCATCCTCCACTGCACTCCCGGGCCACAGCAGAGAGCTGGCCTGGAAGAGGGGCAACCGGGACAGAATCTGGCGCCCCGACCGGGACTAGAACCTGGTGTGCCGGCGCCGCTAGGTGGAGGATTAGCCTATTGAGCCGTGGCGCTGGCCTCAGTTTATTCTTAAAACGAGCTTAAGAGTTACTGCCTCCATTTTGCAGACGAGGGATATGAGGTGGGGAGAGATGAAATAACTTGCTCAGGGGACTGTGTTACAGTGTGGCAGGTGAAGCCGCCACCTGTGATGCTGGCATCCCATATGGGTGCTGGTTTGTGTCCCAGCTGCTCCACTTCCAATTCAGCTCCCTGCTAATGGCCTGGGAAAGCAGTGGAAGATGGCCCAAGTGTTTGGGTCCCTGCCATGCATGTGGGAGACCTGGGTATAGCTCCTGACTTTGGCTTGGTCCAGCCCTGGCCGTTGTGGCCATCTGGAGTAAAGTAGCAGATGGAAGATCTCTCTCCCTCTCTCTCCCTCTCTCTGTAACTCTTTCTAATAAATAAATGAATCTTAAGAAGAAGAAGAAGAAGAAACCCTTGCCTAGGTCACAGAGCTAGCAAGTGGCAGAGCTCAGTTCTGTTGGGGCAGGAGATTCTGACCATGTGCTGGGAGGCTGTCCTGGTTCTTGGAATAGGGCTTGTGACAGCTCTTCACCCTTGCCTTCTCCCTCTCCTTCCCTGTTGTACAACACTTTGATCAGGCCGGTATTTGATGAGGAAGTTTCTTTAAAGTTCACTTGATTGTCCGTACCAGGACTCTACATTTAATGTTGACTTATGTTCGTGGGAGTATTTAAGAGTATTGAAGTAGTCTGTAAAGATCCAGGATAATTGAGCTTTAGAAATTACTGTCTTAATACAAATCTTAGTAACTTTCGGGGTCCAGGAAGGGACTTTTACTGGAAACTGGAGAGGACACCTCTGAAGTGAATGCCACTCATGATGGACTTAATCATTCTTGCTTGTGTTTTTTTTAAAGCTTTATATATTTATTTATTTGAAAGGCAGAATGACAGACAAGGAGAGCCAGAGAGAAAGAAAGATCTTCCATCTGCTGTTTTATTCTACAAGTGCTTGCAATGACCTGCAGCCAGGAGTCAGGAACTCCTTCCGGGTCTCCCGCCTGCATGGCAGGGACCCAGGTACCTACTACCTCTTAGGGTGCCCATTAGCAGCAAGTTGGATTGGAAGTGGAGGGAATTGGCCATTTATCCAAGGAGCCCAGTTCCTTATATTGGAAAATCATTGTTAGACACCATGTTGAAGGTGTTAGGTGTGTTGATTGCTATAAGGATGTCATTTTTTCTAAGCCCCTTGTGAAGGAGCACTAAGAAAGGTGTGGATGTGTCTTCATAAACACACACACACACACACAGAAGCATGCGTTTGAATTTCTGTGTCCAGATATCTATGTCCATATGTATGTTCAAAATTAGAGTTTGCATTGATACTTCCAATTCCAGTCTAACACCACAAAATTTACTCTGGTTTTCTCCATTTCCGTACTTGTATCTTCTCCAACATCGAGAAACTAAGAAGTTGGTTTATTGACTTATTTGCTCCGTCTCATTTAGCGGACTCAATTTCCTGACCATATGGGCTGTCTTTTTGGGTCGGGCCCACCAGAGTACTATCTATCCTCCCAGTTCATCCCACAGTGCTTCCAGGGTACCAGGCGCCTACCCAGAAGGCAGGGAGGGGTGGTGACCAAGGAGAAGGAGGGGCGGGGCAGGCAAGCTCTGGCTTTGTGTTTCTGTCCTCTACCCCACCCACTCATGGGGTGTGGGAAGCAGTGCTTTGAGTTCTTTGTGCTTTATTGCTTTCTGTCTTTTTCCCTCTTTCCAGATGGTTTCACCCAAATATCACTGGTGTGGAGGCAGAAAACCTACTGTTGACAAGAGGAGTTGATGGCAGTTTTTTGGCAAGGCCCAGTAAAAGTAACCCTGGAGACTTCACACTTTCCGTCAGGTAAGGTGGAAGGAAAAGATGATGCTGGGAGTGTTTTCCAGGTAGGAACTGGTAACACCACAGGTGGACAACTTACTTCCCTTGCTTAGAGTTGAAAGCGGGGGCCCCAGGCTCACAGGGCTTGTGGGACGGCCTCCTGGGAGTGAGAAGCTGGGGAATTCAGTGGAAGGGGTGGGTGGTGAGCATCTCCCCCTGCCCCGGCCTGGCCAGCCGAGTTTCCCACTGAGGAGGAGTTGGACAGACCCGTCAGGTTCTGAAGGCCCCCGTGCTTGCTCCTGGTTCCTGCATTTTTCCTTTCCTTGCCGTTGGTTCCTTCATGGGGAATACTTTCCAAGGGGTCCTTCAGATCACTTCCTTTGCCAGGAAATAAAACACGACAGGAAGTTGTGGCCCCTTTGCTCCCCTGCCCAGTCCCCTTCCCCTCCCTCTTTCCCCAGAGGAAACCACCACCAAGGGGCTGGCGCGGGGCCTTTCTGACCACGTTTCTATTCTTGTACCACATTTTCGTTGTGCAGGAATGACGCCGGAGAACTTAGAGAAGTTTACCCATAATGGAATTACAAGATACATTTATTTTACAGCAAATTTTTTTTTGAAATTTGTGCATAGGAGGGATCTTCAAAAAGCTCATGGATGATATGTATGATAATAATACTGCTTGGGTTATGAACATAATTTTACACCAAAGTCAACTTTTATCATTCATCTGTGTTTTCCACCACCTTTAAAGTATCCTTATATGACGTTGGTTTGTATGTTTTCAAAAATCACATAAATTGCTTCATTCATTTTATAACTGCCTCTTACCACTTTTGAAAATTCTGTACTCATACGTGCAGATGGAATTATTAACTTTCATGGTTGTGTAACAGTCAAAAGATGTGACCATCTCCGTTTATTGGGATGGTCTCCTGGTGATGGATATTCAGTTACTTTCTGTTAGTTTTAGTTTTTTTTTTTTTTTTTTGACAGGCAGAGTAGACAGTGAGAGAGAGAGACAGAGAGAAAGGTCTTCCTTTTCCATTGGTTCACCCTCCAATGGCCGCTGCAGCCGGCGCGCTGTGGCTGGCACACTGAGCTGATCCGAAGTTAGAAGCCAGGTGCTTCTCCTGGTCTCCCATGCGGCTGCAAGGCCCAAGCACTTGGGCCATCCTCCACTGCACTCCTGGGCCACAGCAGAGAGCTGGCCTGGAAGAGGGGCAACCGGGACAGAATCCGGCGCCCCAACCGGGACTAGAACCCGGAGTGCCGGCGCCGCAGGCGGAGGGTTAGCCTATTGAGCCGCGGCGCTGGCCTTATTTTTTTTTTTTTTGACAGGCAGAGTTAGACAGTGAGAGAGAGAGACAGAGTCTAGAAAGGTCTTCCTTCCGTTGGTTCACCCCCCAAATGGCTGCCACGGCTGGCTCACTGTGCCGATCCAAAGCCAGGAGCCAGGTGCTTCCTCCCGGTCTCCCATGCTGGTGCAGGGCCCAAGCACTTGGGCCATCCTCCACTGCACTTCCAGGCCACAGCAGAGAGCTGGACTAGAAGAGGAGCAACTGGCACAGAATCTGGCGCCCCAACCAGGACTAGAACCCGGGGTGCTGGCACTGCAGGTGGAGGATTAGCCAAGTGTACCACGGCGCAGGCCTAGTTTTAGTTTTTTTAATATTTATTTTTATTTATGTGAAAGGCAGAGTTACAAAGAGAGAGAGACAGGAGAAATCTTCCATTTACTGGTTCACTCCTCAAATGGCTGCAACAGCTGGGCCTAAGCCAGGCTGAACCCAGGAGCCTGGAGCTTCTTCCATGTCCCCCACATGTGTGCAGGGGCCTAAGGACTTGGGGCATCTTCTACTGCTTTCCCAGGCCACAGCAGAGAGCTGGAGCAGAAGTCGAACAGCCAGGACCTGAACCGATGCCCATATGAGATGCCGGCACTGCAGGCGGAGGCTTAGCTTTCTATGCCACAGTGCTGGCCCTGCTCCTTTTTAGTTTTGAGTGTCACTGTGAGCTCAAGGATGCTTTTTCTATTCTTTTTATCCAATATATGCTGACTTACTTTTTATAAGTTTTATGTATGTATGTAAGTATTTGAAAAGCAGAATAGAGACACACACACGGCTGCAGCTACCAGGTGAGGATCAGGCCAAAAGCAGGAGCCAGGGACTTCCTTCTGGCGGCAGGGCCCTAAGTACTTGAGCCGTCACCCGCTGGCATCCCAGGGATGCTAGTAGGGAGCTGGAGTGGAAGTGGAGCCAGAGCTCACATGGTGCTCCCACGTGGGATGCATTACAGGTGGCAGCTGAGCCCACTGCACCACAGCGCCGGCCCCTATTTTAACTTACTGGTAACATTATTCTTTTTGTTCGGCTTGCTCCAAATTTGGCCTGTATCCTTACGACATGTCTCCAGTAGTCTGCATTGTTACTTGCTTTCCAGATCCATAAGATGTTTTTTGCAGTTTTCCTTTCCCAGGCCTAGAATCACGCATTTCTCACAGGAGCCTTGGTTCTTGTAGGAGATCATATTTAGAAGCCAAGATCTTGGTGCTCGATATGTTGGTGCCCCTGGGGTGTTCTTGCTTCTAGACTCTTATTGTGGAAAAACTGGGAAATAAGTATATAGATATTTAACACCAAGTAGTTTTACTGGTAGTTCCAGCTAAACCCAGTGCCCTTATCTTCCCCATTCCATATTTGTATCTGCCTTCTCCTGTGAAGAGAACCCTACTGATAGGCATTGTGGTAGGTTAAATTGCAGCTTGGGACCCCCACATCTCAGGTCAGAGTGCCTGATATGCTGCCCTTTAAAAGAACCAGTTTCCTGCTAATGTGCAACCTGAGAAACAGCAGGTGATTGCCCAAGTACTTGAGTCCCTGCACCATGTGGGAGACCCAGATGGAATTCCTGGCTCTTGGCTTTGGCCTAGCCCAGGCCATGCTGTTGCAGGCACTGGGGGTGTGAACCAGCAGGTGGAAGATCTCTCCCTTTCTCTTTGTAACTCTGCCTTTCAAACAAATAAATAAATCTTAAAGAAAAAAAAAAAAGGCAAGCAAGCTCTGATTTCCAGCAGCATCCATAGGTGGCCACGTTTGCCCAAACTTCGAATACAAACTAGTTTCAGAATTGCTATACTACTATCATTTCTTTCTTTTTTTAAAAAAGATTTATTTATTTGAAAGGCAGAGTTACCGAGAGGCAGAGCCAGAGAGAGGGAAAGAGAGAGCTATTCCATTCACTCCTCAAATGGCTGAAGCTGAGCCAATCTGAAGCCAGGAGCCAGGAACTTCTGGGTCTCCCATATGGGTACAGGGGCCCAAAGACTTAGGACATCTTTTGTTTTCCCAGGCCATAGCAGAGAGCTGGATTGGAAGTGGAGCAGCCAGGACTCAAACTGGTGCCCACGTGGGATGCCAGCACTTTAGGTAGTGGCTTTACCTGCTGTGCCACAGCACCAGCCCCACTATCATTTATTTTTAAATGTGTACTTTAAATTTTAATCGACATATAATAAGTGCACATATTTTTGGGATACAGTGTGGCATTTCAGTGCAGGGATACAATATGAAATGATCAGAGCAGGGTAATTGGCTTATCCATTACCTCAGATATCTACCATTTCTTTGTGTTGGGAATATTACAAATCCTCTGTTAGCTATTTTGCAATTTATAATTAATTGTTGTCCACTACAGCTATCCTACTGTGCCATGGAATATTATGCATATTCAAGCTATCCAACTTTACCCTGTACCTACTTACCATCCTCACTCCATTCACCACTATCTTTTTTTTTTTTTTTTTTAATTTGACAGGCAGAGTTAGACAGTGAGAGAGAGAGAGAGAGATACCGAAAGGTCTTCCTTTTTCCATTGGTTCACCCCCCACATGGCCGCCAAGGATGGCGCGCTGCACCGATCTGAAGCCAGGATCATCACTGTCATTTCTTTTTTTTTTTTTTTTTTTTTTTTTGACAGGCAGAGTGGATAGTGAGAGAGAAATAAATAGAGAAAGGTCCTCCTTTTGCCGTTGGTTCGCCCTCCAACGGCCGCCACAGCTGGTGCGCTGCGACGATCCGAAGGCAGGAGCCAGGTGCTTCTCCTGGTCTCCCATGGGGTGCAGGGCCCAACCACTTGGGCCACCCTCCACTGCCTTCCCGGGCCACAGCGGAGAGCTGGCCTGGAAGAGGGGCAACTGAGACAGAATCCGGCGCCCCAACCGGGACTAGAACCCGGTGTGCTGGTGCCGCTAGGTGGAGGATTAGCCTACTGAGCCGCGGCACCGGCCACTGTCATTTCTAATTACAGATTTGTTAAGTACAAGATTCCTCTGGAGTCCTTTTGTTTTTATACTACATCCTTCTAAGTGTAGACATTCAAAAGTTGCTGGAATTAATTTTTTGTGTAGTTATGAACTTACCTCACAGATTCATTTCTTTCTGTTTACACAAACACACATACTCACACGCACACACACACACACACACAGACAGACCTTCCATCCACTGGTTCTCTCCTCAAGTGGCTGCAACAGCCAGAGCTGAGCCAGGCCGAAGCCGAAAGCCTGGAATTCCATCCAGGTCTCCCACATGGGTGCAGGGACCCAAGCACTTGGGCCATTTCTGTTGCTTTCCCCAGGTTGTTAACAAAGAGCAGGACCAGAAATAGAACAGCTGGGACATGAACCAGTGTTCATGTGAGCTACTAGTGTTGCAGGCGGCAGCTTTACCCAGTGTACGCCAGTCCCAAAAAAGTGTGTTCTGAAAGATCTCACTTTTTTTTTTAAGATTTATTTATTTTATTTTATTTTTGAAAAGATTATTTATTTGCAAGTCAGAATTACACAGAGAGAGGAGAGGCAGAGAGAGACAAAGAGAGAGAGAGAGGTCTTCTATCCGATGGTTCACTCCCCAATTGGCTGCAACGACTGGAGCTGTGCCGATCTGGAGCCAGGAGCTTCCTCCGGGTCTCTCACGTGGGTGCAGGGGCCATCTTGGGCTTTCCCAGGCCACAGCAGAGAGTTGGATCGAAAATGGAGCAGCCGGGTCTCGAACCAGCGCCCATATGGGATGCCGGTGCTTCAGGCTAGGGCAGTAACCCACTGTCTCTCCCTCTATTTCTTTCAAATAAATAAATACTTTAAAATTTTAATTTTTTAAAGAGTTATTTGAAAGGCAGAGGCAGAGAGAGAGAGAGAGAGAAAGAGAGAGAGAGGTCTTCCATCTGATGGTTCACTCCTCAATTGACCACACAGCCGGAGTTGCGCCGATCCGAAGCCAGGAGCTTCTTCCAGATCTCCCATGTGGTTGCAGGGACCCAAGGACTTGGGCCATCTTCCACTGCTTTCCCAGGCCACAGCAGAGAGCTGGATGGGAAGTGGAGCAGCTGAGACTTGAACCGGTGCCCATATGAGACACTGCAGGCGGCAGCTCTACCCGCTACACCACAGTGCCAGCCCCAGGATCTCATTCTTGTCTCTATCCCTTGCACACTCTCTCCATCTGTCCTTGGAGGTAGTCGTTTCTGCTAGTCTGATTCATCCTTCTGTGTCTCTTGCAAAAGGAACTAAGCAAATATGAGTTTTTTTAAAAAACATTTTCCTTTTTTTTTAAGATTTATTTATTGAAAGTCAGAGGTACACAGAGAAAGGAGAGGCCGAGAGAGAGAGAGAGAGAGAGAGAGAGAGAGAGGGAGAGGGAGAGAGGGAAGTCTTCCATCTGCTGGTTCACTCCCCAGATGGCCGCAACGGCCGGAGTTGCGCCGATCCAAAGCCGGGAGCCGGGAGCTTCTTCCCGGTCTCCCAAGTGGATTCAGGGGCCCAAGGACTTGGGGGCCATCTTCTACTGCCCTCCTGGGCCACAGCAGAGAGCTGGATCAGAAGTGGAGCAGCCAGGTCTCAAACTGGCACCCATATGGGATGCCGGTGCTTCAGGCCAGGGCATTAACCCTCTGTGCCACAGTGCCAGTCCCCAATTATTTTCCTTTTACTTGTACACATGAAGCTGAATATTGACTGTATTTCTTAGTAGTTTACTTTTTTTTTCATTTAAAGAATTCTTTCAGTGATCTCATCTCTAATCAGCTGCATAGCACTCTATTGTGTGAATATTTCAGGTCTGTATATAATCACCAACAGATGGGAATTTAGTTGTGTCAGATATTTGAAAATGATATATAGTGCCTCAAAGAATGTAATAACTGCTTGCATATGTTCTCTTGTGCTCTTGGAAATGTTTCCACAGAGTGAATTCGTGGGAGTGAGAGAGATGACTGGGACTGGAGTGAAGTACGGGTTTTTCCAGATTCTCCATAGTGGTTGGACTGCTGTGCGAGCTTTTCATTATCAGTCACTAATCTGTGAGGCGAGAAGTGGGATCTTGGGAAATTTTAATTTTCACTTATCTTATGATTGAACCTGAAATTCCTTTCAGAAGTGGAAAGGCTGTCTGTAATCTCTGGTGAACGCTCTCAGAACCAGTGTTTTGAGTGAGCCTGCCAGACCTCCACGTGTTCCCTTTCCATATATGTGATACGGGTTGAATGTCTCTTATCCATTTCTTTTGTATGAATGTATGCTCAGTAGTGGAGTTGTTGATCATAAACATTCTCTTAATGGTCAAAATTGTCTCTGTAGTAATACTAAGAATTGTAAAAATTTAGAATCACCATCACATTGGTAAATAATTCAGTCAACCTCCATCAATTTGGAAATGAATGAGTTAAGGTTAATTCTTGTCTGTTTTTGTTTCACTTACATTTGATATTTATTTCGTACCTTGAATTAATAAAATCTTACTTCTGACACACACACACACACACACACATGAAGATCTCTTTTCCAAAATACTTGAGATGAGAAGTGTTTCAGATTTTTGCATTTTTTGGAATATATATCTATATATAGGAATATATATATATTTGGAATATATATATTGGAATATATATATTGGAATATATATATTGGAATTATATATATATATATATATATATATGTAATGAGATATCTTGGGGATGGTTCCTAAGTCTATAAACACAAAATTGATTTATGTTTTATATACACTTTACATAAAAAAGACTGAGGGTAATTTTATATAATATTTTTAGTGAGCCTGTATTTTAAAATTTTTAAAAAATTTTATTTATTTGAAAGGCATAGTTACACACAGAGAGGAAGAGACAGAGACAAAGAGAGAGAGAGAGATACCTTCCATCTGCTGATTCACTCCCCAAATGGCTGTGATGGTCAGGGCTGGACCAGGCTGATTCCAGGCACCAAGAATTCAATCCTCAGTTCTCCCATGTGGTGGCAGGGATCTAAGTCCTTGGGTCATCTGCTACCTTCCCAGGTACACTAGAAGGGAGCTGGATCAGAAGTAGAGCAGCAAGGACTTACACTGGCACTCTAATATGGGATGCTGGTGTCCCGGAAGGCCGGCTTAACCTACTGTTATTGCTATCCTGAATCTTGAGTTTTTTTTTTTTAAAGATTTATTTTAGTTTTTTTTTTTTTTTTTTTTTTTTTTGACAGGCAGAGTGGACAGTGAGAGAGAGACAGAGAGAGAAAGGTCTTCCTTTGCCGTTGGTTCACCCTCCAATGGCCGCCGCTGCAGCCGGCGCACCGCGCTGATCCGATGGCAGGAGCCAGGACCCAGGTGCTTTTCCTGGTCTCCCATGGGGTGCAGGGCCCAAGCACCTGGGCCATCCTCCACTGCACTCCCTGGCCATAGCAGAGAGCTGGCCTGGAAGAGGGGCAACCGGGACAGAATCTGGCACCCCGACCGGGAATAGAACCCGGTGTGCCGGCGCCGCAAGGTGGAGGATTAGCCTATTGAGCCACGGCGCCGGCCTGATTTATTTTAGTTTTTAAAAAATATTTATTTTATTTATTTGAAAGGCACAGTTACAGGGGGAGAGAGAGAGAGAGAGAAAGAGAGAAAGAGAAAAGTCTTCCAGCTGCTGATTCACCCCCCAAATGGCCACAATGGCCGGAGCTGAGCCCATCCAAAGCCAGGAACCAGGAGGTTCTTTGAAGTTTCCACATTGGTGCAGGGGCCTAAAGACTTGGGCCATCTTCTGCTGCTTTCCCAGGTGCATTAGCAGGGAGATGGGTCGGAAGTGGAGCAGCTGGGACTTGAACCATTGCCTACATGGGATGCTGGCACTCCAGGCTAGTACCACAACGGTGACCCCATGAGCCTGTATTTTTTTTTTTTTACAGGCAGAGTGGACAGTGAGAGAGAGAGAGACAGAGAGAAAGGTCTTCCTTTGCTGTTGGTTCACCCTCCAATGGCCGCTGAGGCTGGCGCTGCGCTGATCCGAAGCCAGGAGCCAGGTGTTTCTCCTGGTCTCCCATGCGGGTGCAGGACCCAAGCACTTGGGCCATCCTCCACTGCACTCCCTGGCCACAGCAGAGAGCTGGCCTGGAAGAGAGGAGCAACCGGGACAGAATCCGGTGCCCCAACCGGGACTAGAACCTGGAGTGCCGGCGCTGCAGGCGGAGGGTTAGCCTATTGAGCCGCGACGCCGGCCATTGAGCTTGTATTTTTAAAAAAATGATTTATTTATTTATTTATTTGAAAGGCAGGGTGACAGAGAGAGGGAGAGACAGACAGAGATCTTCCATCTACCGATTCACTCCCCAAATGCCCACAACAACTGGGCTGGGCCAGGCCAAAGCCAGGAACCAGGAACTCAGTCTGGGTCTCCCACATAGGTGACAGGGACCCAAGAATTTGAGTCATTGCCTGCTGCCTCCCAGGGTGCATATGAGCAGGAAGTTGGGTTGGAAGTGGAGGCAGAACCTGAATCCAGGTACTCTGATGTGGAATACATGCTTCCCAAGTGGTGGCTTACCTGCTGCACCAAGATGCTTGTCTTTTTTTGAGACAGACATTCTTGTATAAGTGTTTTTTTTTTAGATTTTAAAAAGTTTATTTATTTGAGTGGTAGAGTTACAGACAGTGAGAGGGAGAGACAAAGGTCTTCCATTCACTGATTCACTCCCCAAATGGCTGCAATGGCCAGAGCTGAGCTGATCCCAAATTGGGAGCTAGGAGCTTCTTCCAGGTCTCCCACGCAGATGCAGGGGACCAGGCACTTAGGCCATCTTCCAGTGCTTTCCCAGGCCATAGCAGAGAGCTGGATTGGAAGAGGAGCAGTTGGGACTCGAACTGGAGCCCCTATGGGATGCTGGCACTGCAGGTGGAGGATTAACCTACTGTTCCACAGTGCCGGTCCCGTATAAGTGCTTTGATGCTAAATAATTTTTAGTAAAATACTTGGGACTTGTATTAGTCAACTTTTAGCTGCTTTAACTGATATACTGAAAATAACTTCTGGGGAAGATAGAAGGTTTATTTTGGCTTACAGTTTGAAGATTCACAGGTCAAGATTGGTTGCTCCTTTGGTCTGGTGTGTGATGTGAATGGTGGGTGACAGAAGTTGTGTGGTGATCCAGGAAGCACAGAGACAAAGAACTTTCTTCTACCCTCTAAGTTAAATCTCTTTTTAAGCTGCCGTGGTTGAACCACGGGCTCCACCCTAGCAGCGTAACCCAATCTAATTCAGTTGCTTTCCAAAGGCCCATCTTCTGATACAAACTGAATCTAACCTCCATCCTTGATCCATGAACCACTGATCCGTTAACCATTAACATAAGAAGGTTTTGGGATTTGAATGTTGGCATGAGTTTGAGGAACAAAACAGGTAGATTTGTTACTGTAATTAGATGTGTCCTTGAATACTGATGAGAATAATTATTGTCACTTTGATAGGTCGATCATTCGAAGTAGAAGATTTACAAGGTACAGAAACTAAAGAGCAAAGCCTTTCACATGGAGACAGTGGACCGTGTGGCCATTTTGCCCATTGCATTTGTTACAGCGAAGGAGGAAATCCATTCTTTCCTTGGGTTCATCTCAACATTTGGGTGAAGTCTGATATCGAACGTGAGATATGTTTTTACTAGTCTAACTCTTTGTTTCTCCCTTCCTTTCCAATGGACTATTTTAGAAGAAATGGAGCTGTCACCCACATCAAGATTCAGAACACTGGTGATTATTATGACCTCTATGGAGGGGAGAAGTTTGCCACTTTGGCTGAGCTGGTTCAGTATTACATGGAACACCATGGGCAGCTGAAGGAGAAGAATGGAGATGTGATTGAGCTCAAGTACCCTCTGAACTGTGCAGATCCTACCTCTGAACGGTCAGTGACATTTTTGGGACACAGACTCTGTGTCACTCCTGTGCCATGCGTGTCATGCAAGTGCAGTGTGGTGAGTTGTGTGTGACTCACCGACTCCAAAGCTGGTGTCTGTTTCTCAGTGAAAATGTTACTAAAGTAAGAAGAGTAGTATCAAGTTATTCTCAGATTGACCTTGCCTTGCAGAAGCTTGATAAAGCGTTCCTTGGACTCACTTTGCGGGGTCTCACGCTGTTCCTGTACATACGTGGCACATGCAGTACTTCTAAGCTTTGTTGCACTTCAGTTGAAAACCTTTGAGGGTATTGAGAGGAAGACAAATGGTAATGGAGACACCAGGATCGCAGCAGCTCTCTGGGCGGCTCCTGACCAGTAGTTACTCAGCAGTCCACCAGCAGATGTCAGTTGAAGCCCGGAAGTGGAAACGCAGAGAGAACTCGGAGGGCCAGCTTTGTCATCTGTTCTTTTCATGTTATATCCACGAATGTGGGAGGGCCCTTATTTAACGGGAACTGCATTATGTTGGAGATCTTCCCCTGGTGTGGGAACCAAGTGATGCAAGCTGGGGCCTGACCGACTTGCACGTCTCGTACTGGGTTTCTGCATCCCCGGCCGCCTCTGATTCAGCACAGGTGCAGGGTCTGCTACTGAGGTTTGTCTGTCTGTATCGGCAGGTGTGGGTTTTTTTTTTTTTTTTTTTCAGCTTTACACCATTACATCAGTGCTGTTCATGTGCCAATAATTTGTTTCTGACTCCCCCTGCAGCTTCCAAGCAGAGGCTGTCGGCCAGCTCTGCAGTTCGTTTCTACGCTGCACTCTTTCCAGTTGAGTGTGGATGAGAAAGAACTCAGAGACCTTTCCTTTAGTGGTGGACGGTTAGCATAACCCGCCTCAGTCATGCTTGCTTTCCTACTGAGGTCCTGAGGGAAAAGGCCCACTGCCTACGTGACTATGTGACGATGCTTCCCACAACAACTTAGAGCAGTGTTGGCTCAAAGTCTGTCCTTGAGTGACCTTTGGCAGCCTACGTCAGGACTCTGTGGCCTGCTAGTTAAGCCTCTAGATTTTTGGGTCCATTCGGACTTAAATGTATTAATTGATGACTCTGAGTATGGGGTGTGAGAATTCACATTTTTTTTTAAGTTTTATTTATTTATTTGAAAATCAGAGTTACACAGAGAGAGAAGGAGAAGCAGAGAGAGAGAGAGAGAGAGAGAGAGAGAGAGAGAGAGAGTCTTCCGTCCGCTGGTTCACTCCCCAGTTGGCCACAACAGCCAGAGCTGTGCCATTCTGAAGCCAGGAGCCAGGAGCTTCTTCCAGGTCTTCCCACACGGGTGCAGGGGCCCAAGGACTTGGGCCATCTTCCACTGCTTTCCCAGGCCATAGCAGAGAGCTGGATTGAAAGTGGAGCAAACCAGCGCCCATATGGGATGCCCGCACTGCAGGCGGCAACTTTACCCGCTAAACCACAGTACCAGCCCCAAGAATTCACATTTTTAACAAAATCTGTCACACAACTCCAAGTCTTAGTGTGCATTGAAATTTAAAATGATAGTCCTCTATATAGCCCACAGACATGACAGCTAATATGGAGGTTATTGAAGTATAGATTGGAAATATGGCAAAATTTAGAACGTTTGAATTAATTTATAACAAAGATCCTTTTTAATCTTCAATAAAGTAATGGCAAACACTCAAAATGATTTCCTGTCTCTGTCACAACTTTAAACATATTTATTTATTTGAAAGATAAACACACAAAAGAGAATGAATCTACTGTCCTTTGGTTCACTACCCAAATTCCTACAACGCGAAGTTTGGGCCAGGCTGAAGCCAGGAACTCAGTCCCATTTTGGTGACAGAGACTCAACTTCTTCATTTTTTTTTTAAGATTTATTTATTTATTTCAACATCAGAATTACACACACAGAGAGAGGGAGAGAGAGAGGGAGAATCTTCCATTTGATGGTTCACTCCCCAATTGGACACAATGGCCAGAGCTGTGCCGATCCGAAGCCAGGAGCCAGAAGCTTCTTCCTGGTCTCCTACGTGGGTGCAGGGACCCAAGGACTTGGGCCATTTTCTACTGCTTTCCCAGGCCATAGCAGAGAGCTGGATTGGAAGTAGAGCAGCCAGGTCTCTAACCGGTGCCCTTATGGGATGCCGGCGTTTCAGGCCGGCCCCGAGACTCCACTTCTTGAGTGATCACCGACTGCCTCCCAGGGTGTGCATTAGCAGGAAGGTGGAATTGAAGGGGAGCTAGGACTCAGACCCGGATACTTTGATATGGGTGCAGGCATCCCAAGTGGTGTTCCTACTGCTGTGCCAAATGCCTGCCCCTGCAGTGTCTTATTAGAACTTTCTTATATGGCTGTGATAGAATAATTGGTCTTTTAAGAGTGGGCAATCAAAAAGAGCAAATTGTGTCTTTAAAAAATGAGAGATTTGGGGCCGGTACTGTGGCACAGCAGGTTAACGCCCTGGCCTGAAGCGCCAGCATCCCGTAAGGGCGCCGATTCTGGTCCCGGCTGCTCCTCTTCTGATCCAGCTCTCTGCTATGTCCTGGGAAAGCAGTAGAAGATGGTCCAGGTCCTTGGGCCCCTGCACCCATGTGGGAGACTTGATAGAGGCTTCTGGCTCCTGGCTTCATATGGGCGCAGCTCTGGCTATTGTGGCCATTTGTGGAGTGACCCATCAGATGGAAGACCTCTCTCTCTCTCTCTCTCTGCCTCTCCTCTCTCTGTGTAACTCTGACTTTCAAATAAATAAATAAATCTTCTAAAAAAATTGAGAGATTTAATTGAAAAACTGGAAGACATTTGTCTCCAAATGACTGGTCATTTTAACATTTTTGTCATTTTCCTGTCTTCCTGAACTGCGAATTCTGTCTTATGTGAGATTGATCAGTCCCTTGCAGGGACTAATTCGTAATTGTCTTAGGAGAGCTGACTATATATGGTAGTTATTTATTGATTGATTGATTGATTGCTATTTCCTTGAAATTTATATAAACTTTCTATATAATCTGCCATACAGTGCCATGTGTTATGCTTAAAAATCATTTCAGACTGGCCGGTGCCGTGGCTCACTAGGCTAATCCTCCGCCTTGCGGTGCCGGCACACCGGGTTCTAGTCCTGGTCGGGGTGCCGGATTCTGTCCCGGTTGCCTCTCTTCCAGGCCAGCTTTCTGCTGTGGTCCGGGAGTGCAGTGGAGGATGGCCCAAGTGCTTGGGCCCTGCACCAGCATGGGAGACCAGGAGGAAGCACCTGGCTCCTGCTTTTGGATCAGCGCGGTGCACCGGCTGCAGCGCGCCAGCCGCGGCGGCCATTGGAGGGTGAACCAACGGCAAAGGAAGACCTTTCTCTCTGTCTCTCACTGTCCATTCTGTCTGTCCAAAAAAAAAATTCAGTAATGAGAAGGATGCTTTGTATCCAGAACATACGTGTGGGATGATCATATGAAATCATAGATAGGATCTGCAAAATACATGAAATTGCAAGAGCAAGCCAGTTAATCCAGTGGCATACTGTCTTGAGTAGGGAAAACGTGGTGAGGCTATGAATTTTGCCTGTGAATGAATGAATGAATGAATGAGGCAGTGGTCCTCACCTGGGGTTTTACTCTGCAGGAAACATTAGCAATGACTGCAGTATTTACGGTAGTTTTAGAAAAGAATGTTGTGAACTGGCAGTGGAACTCAATTTGTTTTCATTCTTAAAACCAGGTGGTTTCACGGGCACCTCTCTGGGAAAGAAGCAGAGAAATTATTGACTGAGAAAGGAAAACATGGCAGCTTCCTGGTCCGCGAGAGCCAGAGCCACCCTGGAGATTTTGTTCTCTCCGTCCGCACTGGCGACGACAAGGTGGAGAGCAATGACGGCAAGTCCAAGGTGACCCACGTCATGATTCGCTGTCAGGTAATGCTCCGCCCGGCCTGCAGGGCTGCAAACTGTCGCCCTGGGGGGTTTTCCCCTGCGAGGAGACAGATGCTGTGCGGCCCAGGTCAGCGTTTCTGCACTTGTGGTATGTTGATTATAACTGTTTCAGGATTTCAAAACTCTTTTGAGTCATTTACTTCCAGGTTATCTCTGGCAGATTAAATCATGCCTAACAACCCCCTCTCCCCCCATGATGGGAATGCTTGAGATCTACTCTTCTAGCAAAGTCCAGTCTGACAAGACGTTGTTACTGACTGTGGCCCCTGCGCTTCCGCATCCTACTGAAAGCTGTGCACTCTGGCCAGCCCCGCCCCTTGCCCCAGCCCCTGGTGACCACTGTTCTGCTCTGTGTCACCATGGGTGTGTTTTTAGCTTCCAGTTGTGAGTGAGCTCACGAAGTGTTTGCCTTTCTTTCCTGGCTTTTTACACTTACGTAATGTCTGCAAGTATAATGTTGTCACACATGTCAAGATTTGCTCCCCCTCCCCCCTTTTATGGCTGAATAATTTTCCAGTATTTGTGCATGCACACATATACATACACACACCACATTTTAAAATAAAGATTTATTTATTATTTGAGAGGTAGAGTTACAGAGAGAGAGAGAGAAAGGTCTTCCATCCACTGGTTTACTCCCCAAATGGCTGCAGTGGCTGCAGCTGGGTCGATCTGAAGCCAGGAGCTTCTTCCGGATCTCCTGTGTGAGTGAAGGGGTCCAAGCACTTGGGCCATCTTTCATTGCTTTCACAGGCTATAGCAGAGAGCTGGATCGGAAGAAGAGCAGCTAGTACTTGAACCAGCACCCCTATGGGATGCCAACACCACAGGCAGAAGCTTAGCTTTCTGTCCCATAGCACTCTCCCCTCCCCCATTTTTATTCATCTGATCTGTTGCTGGACGTGTAGGTTGTTTCTGTATCCCATCTATTGTAGATATTGCTGCCGCGAACACAGGAATGCAGGAAGCACAATAGTTAAACACAAAGGTAATACATGCCGTCTTTTTGTCTTGAAAGGAACTGAAATACGATGTTGGTGGAGGAGAGCGGTTTGATTCTCTGACAGATCTGGTGGAACATTACAAGAAAAATCCTATGGTAGAAACCTTGGGCACAGTGCTGCAACTCAAGCAGGTAAGTGGCTCAGAAAGCTACAGCTCCTTCTCCTTTTAAAGTTTTGAAACCCCAATTTAGAGTTTTCCGAACTTACAGGGGTAGACAGAGTAGCGCTGTCAACGTCCATGTGCTCGTTCTTCAGCCTCAATTGTAACTGATTCTTTAGTCCTTCCTTCTGTATGCTGTGTTCACTGGCCACCTCCGTGGTGTCTGGAAACCAAGTCCAGATGTTGTGGAATTCCACTGGTGTCTGTGAAGAGCCTGATGGCTTTAGAGGAAGCTTTCAGCATGGATCCACTCTGGTTGTTGTTAGGTGACCACATGGACATTAAAGTTGTTGCTATTTCGGAGTTCACCCTTATGACAGTGGCAGATGATAGAATTTTTCAAAATAATGTTGTGGTCTATTTATAAAGAAAAATAGGATTGAATTTTTATCAGCAGAGTAATGTGTGTGTGGAATTGAAGAAAGTTTCGTTTCCTAGCAGCACAGAAGAGAAGGTGAAACTGCATTTGAAAACTTAAATAAATTATTATTATTTATTTTCATTTTATTTGAAAGAGAGTCAGAGATAGACAGAGAGAAGGCTTCTATCTGCTGATTCCCTTCCCAAATGGCCACAACAGTCAGGACTGGGCCAGGCCAGAGCCTGGAACTCAGTTTGGGTTTCCCATGTTGGTGGCAGGGACCCAAGTACTTGGGCCCTCACCTCTGCCTCCCAGGCTGTGCATAAGTGGGGAGCTAGGATCAGAGGTAGAACCAGGACTAGAACTCTGATGTGGGAGACAGGTGTCCTAAGTGGCCGAACGCCTGCCCCTGAATTTGAGAATTTTATTGTGGCATACCGCATCCCGAGAGGCCTGTCCTTGCCTGCAGGCTTTCTTTATATATTAACATTATATTTTCTTCATTTTACACCTACTGCTGAACTTGATCAGCCCCTCAATACAACCCGTATAAACGCAGCTGAAATAGAGAGCCGGGTTCGAGAACTGAGCAAACTGGCCGAGACCACAGATAAAGTCAAGCAAGGCTTTTGGGAAGAATTTGAGGTAAGTTCTTAAAAAGCTTTTCACATGAAGTTATTAAATCCTATTTTTGGTAGAAGAGAAGTTGGTCTTGTTTTTGGACTTGGATCTGAAACACTTGAATCTGACATCCTTTCTTAATTCAGCCATTGATTGACATGGAACAAGTTGCCGAGGGGCCTCTTTGAAATAGAAGGGCGCTGTGTTCCCAGAGACGAGTTGGCAGTTAGTACGGAACGGGCGCGCCAACAGCTCCATTTGGCTTTTTTGGTTTGGACCACTGGCAGAAACTCAGAAAAACAAAAGTATCTAATTCCTTTGGAGGATTTCCAGCATTCACTGGGGTCTTTAGAAAAAATCTATAGCCTTATTGCAGTGAGTAAGTCAAAGACAAATGGCTCATGTTGGCTCTAATTTAGGACTGACTTGGTATCGTTGGGAAGCTAAGGGAACCCATTTCTCTCCTGAAAGCAGCTTGGGTGGAGAATGTCCCTGATGGGGCTCTGCGCAGTTCTCCTGCTCTTCCGTGTAACTTACCTTCGACACTGTGATCTCTTTCTGTTCGCATCTATTTGAGTGAAACTTGTTCAAAAACAGAAATTCTGGCATATTGCCCTGTGTGGTTGTCCTCTGCATTTAGCACTCAGCAAGGTCTCTTGCACGTAGCAGAAACTCCATGAATGTTTGTTGAATGAGTATTTATATTTAGCTAATGCTTACATAATGTAAAAAGTTTTTTTTTATTTATTTGAAAGAGAGAAAGATAATCTTCCTTCTGGATTACTCCCCAAATGCCCACAAGAGCTGGGTCTGGGACAGGCCGAAGTCAGGAGCCAGGGACTCCATCTGGGTTTCCCACGTGGATGGCAGCCTTGCTCTGCTGCCTCCCAGGGTGCCTCCCAGGGTGCACGTTAGCAGGAAGCTGGCTTGGAAGTGGGGGTTGGGTGCCATCCAAGATCCCGGGCACTTCAATGTGAGATGCAGGCGTCACACGCAGCAGGCTACCCCTCCGTGCCATGATGCTCGCCATCATTTCGTTATGACTGTTCTTTTTGATGGAACTGATCATTCCATACTTTTGGTGAGACTTTTGCGTTTACAAATAGTTGTGGAATGAACGATTGGGCAGTGTTGCCCTTTTAGCCCTGGCGTGTCAGAGCAGCACGGTGAGCTGGCTAACATTTCCGTTCTGCAGGTGCACAGCTGAGGCTCAGGGAGTTTAAACTGTCCAGACCTGACATGGGCTGAGCTCCAGCACTGGGGATGGGTGCGGCCCAACAGCGCAGAGCAGAGACTTGAGTCCAGGCTTATTCTCTCTTATCAGGCGTGGGGTCAAGTGCTAAGGGCACTGTAATGAGCAAGGCAGAACAGATTTTTGCCTAAAGGAGCATTGAAAAGCATCCCTGAAAAGCGATGACGAACGTAACGAGCCGGGATTTCAAACTCTCCAGCTCACCGCTTGCCTCATTCTACCCCTTCTGCCTACTTAACAAAATGCAACATTGCAGCAATCATTTCTTTTTTATTTATTTTACTTATTTGCAAGTCAGAGAAAAAGAAACAGAGGTAGAAGGATGGAGGGAGCTCCCATCTACTGGTTCAATCCCCAAATGCCCACAACAGCTGGGGCTGGGTCAGGCCCAAGAGGAGCCTGGGATTCTAGCCAGGTCTTCCCTGTGGTGGCAGAGACACAGTGCATGAGCCATCACTTGCTGCAGCCCAGGGTGTGCATTAACAGGAAACTGGAATCAGAAGCAGAAGTTCTATTGGAAGTTTTTCTGGGGCCGGCGCTGTGGCGTAGTGGGTAACAGCTGGTAAACCTGGCGCCTGCAATGCCGGCATCCCATATGGGTGCCGGCTCGAGATCCAGCTGCTCCACTTCCAATCCAGCTCTCTGCTGTGGCCTGGGAAAGCAGAAGAAGATGGTCTAAGTCCTTGGGCCCCTGCACCTGTATGGGACATCAGGAGGGGGCTCTTGGCTCCTGGCTTCGGATCTGTGCAGCTCCAGCCAATGCAGCCAATTGGGGAGTGAACCAGCAGTTGGAAGACCTCTCTCTGCCTCTCCTTTTCTCTCTGTGTAACTCTTTCAAATAAATAAATAAATCTTAAAAAAAAAAAAAAAGTTTTTCTTTGCCAAGACTACATAGCAGTGAAATATCAGCAGGCACTTGAGTCCTGTGTGGTTTCTGGTTTTATGTTCTGAACAGTAACTGATATTTATTGCTTGGACCCCTTGATTCATAAGGGATTCTAAGGTAATGATTTTATAATTTTATGATTCTTCATTATTTATTTGGTGGGATGTTTGATTCTTTTTTTTTTTTTTTTTTTTTTTTTTTTTGGACAGGTAGAGTTAGACAGTGAGAGAGAGAGACAGAAAGGTCTTCCTTCTGTTGGTTCACCCCCACAAATGGCCGCTATGGCCAGTGCTGCGCCGATCCAAAGCCAGGAGCCAGGTGCTTCCTCTTGGTCTCCCATTGGGTACAGGGGTACAAGCACTTGGGTCATCCTCCACTGCCCTCCTGGGCCACAGCAGAGAGCTGGACTGGAAGAGGAACAACCAGGACTAGAACCCAGCGCCCATATGGGATGCCGGCACTGCAGATGGAGGATTAACCAAGTGATCCACGGCGCCGGCCTTTTTTTTTTTTTTTTTTCTAAGTAGTTTCCAAAATAACGTTCTGGGGCTGTTGTGACATAGTGGGTGGAGCTGCTGTCTGTGATGCCGGCATCCCATATGGGTGCTAGTTCGAGTCTTGGCTGCTCCATTTCCTATCCAGCTCCCTGCTAATGGCCTGGGAAGAGCAATGGAATGTGGCCCAAGTACTTGGGCCCCTGCTACCCATGTGGGAGACCTGAAAGAAGCTCCAGGCTCATGGTTTCTGTCTGGCCAGTCCCCAGCCATTACAGCCATTTTGGGGAGTGAACCAGTGGATGGAAGATCTCTGTCTTTCTCTCTCACTGTAACTCTGCTTTGCAAATAGATAAAAATAAATATTTTTAAAAATCAAAATAACATACTGTAAAGTTTTATTTTATATCAATATATACTCATGGATGTTTAACACATTTGATGTATTTCTGTCTACAAAATTTATTATCATATTTGCTGTTAAGATTTTTTTTAAAAAAGATTTATTTATTTATTTGAAAGACAGGGCCACAGAGAGTGGTAGAAACAGACAGAGAGAGGTCTTCCATCCACTGGTTCATTCCCCAAATGGCTGCAGTGCCAGAGCTGGGAACCAGGAGATTCTTCTAGGTCTTCCATGCGGGTGCAGGGGCCCAAGGACCCAGGCCATCCTGTGCTGCTTTCCCAGGCGCATTAGCAGGGAGCTCGGTCAGAGTGGAGCAGCCCAGGACTTGAACTGGTGCCCATATGGATGCTGGTGCTGCAGGCAGGGGCTTTAACCCACTGCGCCAAAATGCCAGGCCCAGCTCTTCTTACCTTCGGTCAGTGTGAGCTCTGCGGGCTGGCTTCTAGCCCTTCTATTCAGCTTGAGCAGACCCTGCTTGATTCCTCTTTCTGGTGGATTGCCTTTTCACGGGCTAATTGCTTTGCAGTGCAGAACTGCGTCTTTCATTCCCCCACCCAGTGGGCTGACCTCTCCCCTTTTTCTGCGTTTCCTCCCCTTTTCCTTCCTTCTCTTTGTTCATTTCAAGGGAAGTGGTGTTTCTAGACTGTAATCTGGGTATCAGAGTTCATTGCTGCTAGGTTGGTTATTACTTCTAGACCTCGTCAGTGCATGGGGCTAGACGTTTTTTAAAAATTTTTTCCCTTGAAATAAAATACATTCTGAGTTCAGACGATACTTCCAAATCAAGTTCAGGACTTTGGAGTTTTTATTAACCTCATTGATCTTGGTTACCTCTGCATCTTCTTCCTCTGGTGCTAGAATTTCTATTCTCAAAGCTGTTACGTGATGACTTATTTGCTTGCATCCCACATTGCCTCAAAATGGTAACACTTCTTAATCTGATTACTGAAAATGGTTGAATATTTTTGCAGTTTCTTTCTTAATCCTTGAGAGGTGTAGAGTCAGATCAGTGCCTTCAATTCATTTGTCATTCTCTGTGTGGTTACAAATGAGCGGAGTGTGCATTCACTTACTTCTGTCATTTTACATTGGAACCTAAAGTTTTATTTATAATTATGCAGAGCATGCACTTCGATTTGGAAGTCAGGTTTCATACTAAATACATTCCTTTTATCCCTGTCCTTTCCTTCTCTGTATTTAACTGTAGTTAAAAAACTGTAATTTATCATTACGTGTTAAAAATGTAAGGAAATATGTATATATTCCTATTTTTTCTGAAACAAACATAGTGCAACTTTATATACACTCTTTGCCTTTTTTTTTTTTTTTTTTTTTTGGACAGGCAGAGTGGACAGTGAGAGAGACAGACAGAGAGAAAGGTCTTCCTTTGCCGTTGGTTCACCCTCCAATGGTGGCCACGGCTGGCGTGCTGCGGCCTGCGCACCATGCTGATCCAAAGGCAGGAGCCGGGTGCTTCTCCTGGTCTCCCATGGGGTGCAGGGTCCAAGCACTTGGGCCATCCTCCACTGCACTCCCTGGCCACAGCAGAGAGCTGGCCTGGAAGAGGGGCAACCGGGACAGAATCCGGCGCCCCAACTAGGACTAAAACTCGGTGTGCCAGCGCCGCAAGGCGGAGGATTAGCCTATTGAGCTGCGGCGCCGGCACTACATACACTCTTTTCTAACCTTTTCAGCATCTTGGACGTCAGTCCATGGTAGTATCTGAAGATGCTCTTCATTCATTTTTTTACTGCATAGTACTGCATTGTGTGGTTGAAGTACAGTTTATTCAACGTATGGATAGGCATTTGGGTAATTTCTAAATGAATTACAAAGAGGGTCATGATAACCATGTCCTTGTGTCTTTTCCTGTTTTTTTTTTTTTTTTTTTTTTAAGTTAAAAAATGATAATAGTTTCTCATCTTTCTTAAAATAGTCTTGATCTTTTTTTTTAAAAAAAAGTTTATTTTTCATCTACTTGAAAGG